CAGGTTGATATTAAATTAACAATCGTCAGTGACGGTCAGTTAAAGGGAATTGACAGTGACGGTCAGTTACAGGGAATCGTCACCAACGGTCAGTTAAACCGATGGAAAACAAGTGATTGTATCAATATGTCGGCGAGGACAGTTCATAAGGATTATAGAACTACTTTTTTTACGGATGAATTTGTAACTAGAAAAAAATCAACAAACTTGACTAAAAAGTCCCTCTAAAGTAAAAACAAACTTTAAGATATATCAATTTGACCTGTCACAACAAATATGCAGCTGTGAAATAAAAAATAGTGTTCCCGATTTTGTTTAATTAATGTTAAACATTTTCACTAGCTGCTGGTTATCTCTAACGACAGAATGGCTGTGGATTAGTATGTTATAGTGACGACCACAATAACTGGGAATTGTCAGTGACATCCATAATTGCTGCGAATTGTAAGTATTTGTTAGTAACGACAAAAAATGACTGGGAATTGTCAGTGACGACCACAATAACCGGGAATTGTCAGTGACGAACACAATAACCGGGAATTGTCAGTGACGAACACAATAACCGGGAATTGTCAGTGACGACCACAATAACCGGGAATTGTCAGTGACGACCACAATAACTGGGAATTGTCAGTGACGACCACAATGACTGGGAACTGTCAGTGACGACCACAATAACCGGGAATTGTCAGTGACGATCACAATAACCGGGAATTGTCAGTGACGAACACAATAACTGGGAATTGTCAGTGACGACCACAATAACTGGGAATTGTCAGTGACGACCACAATAACTGGGAATTGTCAGTGACGACCACAATAACTGGGAATTGTCAGTAACGACAAAATGACTGGAAATTGTCAGTGACGACCACAATAACCGGGAATTGTCAGTGACGACCACAATAACTGGGAATTGTCAGTGACGACCACAATAACCGGGAATTGTCAGTGACGAACACAATAACTGGGAATTGTCAGTAACGACCACAATAACTCGGAATTGTCAGTGACGACCAGAATAACTTGGAACTGTCAGTGACGACCACAATAACCGGGAATTGTCAGTGACGACCACAATAACCGGGAATTGTCAGTGACGACCACAATAACCGGGAATTGTCAGTGACGAACACAATAACTGGGAATTGTCAGTCACGACCACAATGACTGGGAATTGTAAGTATTTGTCAGTGACGACCACAATAACTGGGAATTGTCAGTGACGACCAAAATGACTGGGAATTGTCAATGACGACCACAATGATTGGGAACTGTCAGTGACGACCACAATAACTGGGAATTGTCAGTGACGACCACAATAACCGGGAATTGTCAGTGACGAACACAATAACCGGGAATTGTCAGTGACGAACACAATAACCGGGAATTGTCAGTGACGACCACAATAACTGGGAATTGTCAGTGACGACCACAATAACTCGGAACTGTCAGTGACGAACACAATAACTTTGAATTGTCAGAGACGACCACAATAACTGGGAATTGTCAGTGACGACCACAATAACTGGGAATTGTCACTGTCAGTGACGACCACAATAACCGGGAATTGTCAGTGACGAACACAATAACTGGGAATTGTCAGTGACGACCACAATAACCGGGAATTGTCAGTGACGACCACAATAACTGGGAATTGTCAGTGACGACCACAATAACCGGGAATTGTCAGTGACGACCACAATAACTGGGAATTGTCAGTGACGACCACAATGATTGGGAACTGTCAGTGACGACCACAATAACTGGGAATTGTCAGTGACGACCACAATAACCGGGAATTGTCAGTAACGACAAAATGACTGGAAATTGTCAGTGACGACCACAATGATTGGGAACTGTCAGTGACGACCACAATAACTGGGAATTGTCAGTGACGACCACAATAACTGGGAATTGTCAGTGACGACCACAATAACCGGGAATTGTCAGTGACGACCACAATAACTGGGAATTGTCAGTAACGACAAAATGACTGGAAATTGTCAGTGACGACCAGAATAACTTGGAACTGTCAGTGACGACCACAATAACTGGGAATTGTCAGTGACGACCACAATAACTGGGAATTGTCAGTGACGACCACAATAACTGGGAATTGTCAGTGACGACCACAATAACCGGGAATTGTCAGTGACGAACACAATAACTGGGAATTGTCAGTGACGAACACAATAACTGGGAATTGTCAGTGACGACCACAATAACTTGGAACTGTCAGTGACGACCACAATAACTGGGAATTGTCAGTAACGATCACAATAACCGGGAATTGTCAGTGACGACCACAATAACCGGGAATTGTCAGTGACGACCACAAGAACTGGGAATTGTCAGTAACGACAAAATGACTGGAAATTGTCTGTGACGACCAGAATAACTTGGAACTGTCAGTGACGACCACAATAACCGGGAATTGTCAGTGACGACCACAATAACCGGAAATTGTGAGTGACGAACACAATAACTGGGAATTGTCAGTAACGACCACAATAACTCGGAATTGTCAGTGACGACACACTGGGAATAACCACAATAACAATGGAACTGTCAGTGACGACCACAATAACCGGGAATTGTCAGTGACGACCACAATAACCGGGAATTGTCAGTGACGAACACAATAACTGGGAATTGTCAGTAACGACCACAATAACTCGGAATTGTCAGTGACGACCACAATAACTTGGAACTGTCAGTGACGACCACAATAACTTGGAACTGTCAGTAACGACCACAATAACGGGGAATTGTCAGTGACGACCACAATAACCGGGAATTGTCAGTGACGACCACAATAACCGGGAATTGTCAGTAACGAACACAATAACTGGGAATTGTCAGTGACGACCACAATAACCGGGAATTGTCAGTGACGACCACAATAACTTGGAACTGTCAGTAACGACCACAATAACCGGGAATTGTCAGTGACGAACACAATTGCTTATAATTAGTTGTGAAGACTGGAATTACAAGGAATCATCAAAGTTAAATTTGGTATTTCTGGATATTCTGTCTGTTGTTTTCTTTGTTTGGGAATGGAAGTTTTTCATATACTGGTGATCATACAGATTGTTTCAATACTTTCTGCGGTGACCATTTTGCACTGAAGTTGACTAAATCGATCAGTTGGAGAGTGAACGCATAAATTGATTACAACTTTCTGCTTAATTTTACACGTCAAATATCTCCCAAGTCTAATTCTCTTTCTGTTAAAACACCGTGACAGACATTCGATGTTTTTCGTAAACTCGAAAATTAAACTGCATCGCTAATAGATGTATTGTAATTCTACCGCTGATAACGTCATCCCTCCACAGCAGCAACATTGACAGTTGTTACAAATCTTTGAAGGGAACTGATGAGAATGTGTGTGTAGGCTGACATAATTAAGGTCGTGTTTCACTACTGCGCATTAAGACATTTTGCAGAAAAACCTGTATTCAGCACTGGTAAGCGGGGTCTAAACGAATGGGAAACGGTGTCATATTGCGTTCTGTATTTACGTTTTCAAAGATGAAAATGAAAGAGTATGACCTTAATCATATGTTGTTAATATTCGCGCATGGTGTAAACGAGAGAGAACTCTGACGTAACTGGATCTTGTTATTGTGATAAACGCACTAAGAAAGCATGCTTGGAAGCTCTCCTCAAACAGCCGAGGTCGTGTTTGTCACCATACATTGTTTATTGCATCCGAGTATATTAACGTGGATTAGACAAAACTATTGTATGGATAGGTTTCCAGGACCGTCAATACCATTCTGCTGTTCTATGTACTTACTACACTAATTTATGTAATCTATTGCTGACTCCTCTAGCTGGTCAACGAAACTTTGTCAAAACTACTAACTATTATTCTTAGCACTATAAATATGGGATACAGTTTTAATGTGATACTGTTAACTCAATATGTAGAATTAATAGAATGTGGATTTTAAATAATTCCAAAGAGCTTTTGATCAATTTTCACCACCTTCTTAAAAAAATTCTTCTATAAGAACATTGGACTATTCACTCTGTACACCACCTTAATTAATTATAAACTAACAGAATACCTTCTTTATCTTGTTACGAGAGTTTTCTTTTCAAAGCAAGGGGAACGGCGGGAAAATACATGGTTGTGAACTATATTGAAGCGTATTTCGTGCAAAATACGTTAAAATCGAAGAAAAAATGTACAAGGACATCATTAAAATGATTAAGTTGGTTGAAATCATCGTCTTCGAGTTTGGTGGTAAGATCTTCCAGCAGACTTATAAGTATACCTAGGGGAACCAACTGTGCCCTTCTGTTGACTGACTTGTTTTTGTTTTTATACGATGCTGAATTTATCGAAGAGCTTATCAAACAAGTCACAAAGACCATGCAACGTCGTTTAATTTCACTTTCAGATATGTTGATGTTCTCTTGTCTTTCTATCTATGGTGTTACATGTTGCATTAATTCAATATTCAAGGACCTGTTCCCATTATCACAATTTGCGAGCAAGTAGCTGTCAACTGACAGACAACTCGTATAGGAGAGTTTTAAAAGATGCAGGCTGATGAAAACTATGTGACAGTTTTATGGTCGTCATATTGAGAAATATATACTGAGAAATATCATATTTCTTTGTGCGATATGAACGTGTTGGAAGTTTGGCATGTTGCTTCTTCTGTCAAATACCATGTTCTCATTTGAAAACGTGACATTGCTTACTTGGATTGACCAAAATTCACATGATGAATGTCGTAGATGAAGCAGAAAACGCTTACTCTTCTGGAACACTTCTGTAAAGCTTTCTTTCGTTAATATTTCAACTAAGTTTTACTGAATTTGAGTTTTGATTATGATTGTGTTGACATGTTGATATTTTCTTGTTTTTTGTAAGAATGAAGTATATAGAATTTCACATATTTCTATCTTGTGTCTTCAATGTTATGTTTCAAGAATACTGAATACCCAAAATTTATCAAAAACAAAGCAACAACATATTATTATACATAAGAAATTTATTAAAATCTTAAAATTGAATTTTTCTACAACGAGACCGAGCGTAGATTTCCTGAATTATTCTGAACATTAACAACTCAATAAATAATATCTACAGGACAACAGTGGACATGTGACCACTGCACGGTACAGGGTACACGTACATATCACACCATGAATACTGATAGAAAAATAGTACTATCAAATAATGAAATAGACTATACTGACAAGTAAAAAAGGCATCAACAACGACAAATGATAAAATTGGAAATTACAATGTCATTATGTTTCGAAATGACTGAAATACGAAATGCGTCCAGTATGTGAGAAGTGAAGACAATAAACAAGACTAGATGTTAGAGACAATTTTGAAGTTGAATGTTAGGTTATTTTATAAAACATGTATAGGGAAATTAAAACATATATCAAATATGGTATTGCCTAAAGTTTAAATATTTCTTCAGCTACATTGCTAACAATTAAAAACCTTAAGGAAGGTATCTCTGCAGATAATCCTTATATCGCATTCTTCTGTCAAACATCTGAATTGACAATGTCTAGCTTTAATTCATACCTTATCCTAGTACTAACAGTATTCATGATAATCAAATGCCAAATTTCGGGGAACTTTGTTATAGTACTTCATATTAATTGAACCATGCTACGACAAGAATTCAATACACATAAGTATCTTATTTCAAAGTCATAGATCAAATCAACTCAATAATATCAAACCGATCATCGTTAAATCTAACAATATGGGGGAAAACATGTGTTTGAAAATAAAACCACACTGGGGTGTTTTATAAACGAACACTATGATACTAAGTTTGATGTGCTGGCAGTGTATAACGGGGAACAGGAAGCATTACTAGTTTTAATATCTTATGATTATATAACATATATACAAAGAGACCACAACACCAGTAGTGTATATTTTAAACCTAATTTGTCAAAAAAGTATCAGTTGTCATTATTTTTTGTTGTATGACAGTAAGTTTATTTTGAAATGTGGTGATTTTACATCATTACCTAAACTGAACACGAACAATTTCATTGGTAAACATTAACCATTATTATTCTCTATTGTATGAAATTAAGACATTTAATGTTCTTCCTTAAGCATCATATCATTATTTATTAATAGGTATAAAACATTTCTTCGAAAATAACAAATTTTGTGATAACTGTCTTTCTTGGTCTCTTCATAATGCGAACAATTCACGATTCCACTCAAACGTAACAATATGCCTGCACAAAAAAATCTGTACAAACTTTAAACATTTAATTTTAAAATGGTTGAATGAGACATTGGCTGAATACTTCCAAGTGTAGCACTATATATTACACATGTCAAAATTATGGTGGTGCTACTTCTACTATTTAAAAACATACGTGAAAATATTGCACATAATCATGTTCAAAAATAGTATTTCAGTCATACATGACGTCATTTGCAAAACTAATGTTGTCATGTTCTGTTTCCAGATATTTTCTCTTTCCTTCTCGGATTGCCTAATAATGTAAATGTAAACATGTGTGATTTCACAATAAGGATATAATATTACATGCAGTATGCTAAAATGGAAACGTTTTATGAAACACAGTCACAACTATGTTGTGTGGTGTTGTTAGTCAATGACTCTTCAATGGTATATTCTGATTAATGTAAAAAAGTATGCAAGCATGAAAACGATCGGAAAACAACGAATACATATAATAACTGTGTGACATATTCTTAATGTCACAAATAAATATGCCTGGTTAATCAAAGCGTCCACTTAGTAAAGTCTTTCTTAGAATTCCAAAAATGACAGAGCTAATTAATAGGTGTATTCTATGAGATGATGTCTTTAACAATGCACTCGAATAGAACTTCGACCATCCAAAGGCGTCAATTCAAACTGATCGTAGGGCCCATGCAAATATAAAACCATCTTTATCAAAAAGAATAATTAAGGGTGTATGGTACAAAATTTAGGCGACCTGTAATGAATTACTCAAGAGCTACCTGAGACTTCCGATAAAAATATATTTCCAGAGTGCATGAAGAATATGTTAAAAGCATTTATGTTTATATATTTATCAAATCTTGCAAAACAAAACTTCAATATGATCCGTGTGATTATATACACCGTGTACAAATGTATACTTAACCAAAGCGTTGTATGACTCCCCACTATTACCACCGTTCACACTGTTCCTTTCAAGAGGAACACAAGCGGGTGACTGATATCATTGATTTCGGTGCTGCTTTGAATAACTGTGAACTTGCCCTTAATCAATCGCCCAAGGGGAATAACCTGACTATTGAGGAGAACACTAATAATTGAATTTCAAATTCTATATTATACTGATAATATCTTGATAAGGCACAATCAATGTGACTACCCTCTAAAAATCAGGAAAGCATTCCAAAAGGAAAGATGTTGAAGCCCGTGTGGTACGTATTCTTTATCAAAAGCTAACAGACAACTTACCTGTTAATATGACAAAGTAAATTTTATCGACCTTTGACCTTTTGTGTAAGTATCGGAAAAGAATTTCATTTATGAATAGAAAAAAAAACTTTAATTGAAGCTTTATATGTTAAACAAACCTAAACCAGACATAAAATGGTACGTTTTTATTCCAGGGTACACGGTGTATTTCTCTATTGTTCTTGTAAGATAAAATCTGCCATTGAACTCTAAATAAAAATGGAATATTGGGGCTCCAAGCAAAATATTGTTATATAAGTGAAAAATATTATAGCGTATGGACATACAAAAAAGCGATTTTTAAATAAACATTTTCATAACTTAAAATCGCTCTAATATAAATTTCATATTGTTTATTTGGTATGATATTATAACTAACATATGCTTTAAAAGAATAGTTCCTTCATAATAGATTACATGTTTATATAAACAATACCCACCAAAAGTTACACCACACATATAACACCGTTTTAACGACGCAGTAAATTGAGTATTATAGAGCACGAGTCCCTCAGATGAAAACACAACATCACTGTCGTAAACCATCTCATCAAACTCTGGCTAGTCACATTAAGCAGTGCGAAATAAACTTGCTAACATACGCCACAATACAACCGATGGGCTGACCCTGACTACATCACGTGAAAAGTGACAGCATGCGCACTTCAGCATTCCTTATTGAAACTGTCCAACTTCTTTACATAACAATTTCTTTATCAATATCACTGTTACCCCTTTCACGATTGTCAAATTTACAAGATCACCAACATCTGTCGCGATCACCTGAAAGGATTTACCTAAAATATATCTCTCGGATAAGAAAATATCATTAATACTTAATACAATACTTACAAGCCTGTTCAGTTACCTAAATTGCATTTCGTTAATTTGTAACCGTTCCAGTAATGTTATCTAATACCGCTATCCTCAACCTTGAATTAACTACCTTTCCACTTTAATATTTATCGTGTTAAACTTATGTACCCATTAACAGTGTGAGTATTGACTATATCCGGGGAAATGCTCAGGGCTAGCACTGGACTGGTCCTACAGGCTATGCTAATTTCATCTAGAGGACATTTGTCAATACGATCTCCTCGTAAAGAAGTTGAATGGCTTCACAATACAGGTGACCTTACATAATGCTGCTCACATCCTGAACACAAAGCAGATAGAACATTGTACGACTAAACGACAATTAAAGACGTACACGCTGAAGATCAGCCAAAAAGAGGCACTCCAACCCCCACATACACGTTGTGGTTACCTATGTTACTGTAGTATAGTCATTTACATAATGTGGGCAGCTTTCTTTTACGTTACAGTTGTTAAAGTATAAAGACATGTATTCAAATATGTTAGTGATATTATGTATCTAATGGAATACTATAACGTACAATGTCTATTATGATACAAGTTAATTGTCTAGTAAAATACCAGTAAAACGTCTGATACTACTTCTATTATGTCTATTATGATACACTGTATAACATACTAGTACAATGTATAATATGATACTAGTACAATGTATATATATTAGGACATCTGAAAAATGTACAATGTAATACATTTACAAAGTCTAGTATGATACCATTAAAGTATTTAGTATGATATCAATACAATGCTGAATAAGATATCAGTACAATCCTAGTATGATACTAGAACACCAGCGATTAACTTGTATATGTCTGTTCGTGTGATACTCAAAATGAAGGATGATATTTTTGATATAACAGAACATACAATGTAAGATTCACATACATACATACCATTTCGGTTTAGTCGATATCATTAAAAATGAAATGTATTTTTCTCGCATTTAGGCTCTTTGTTATTACTGATTCTGTTTCTCGAAGTTCCATCTACACAGCACCGTCCTGTTTAAGTATATTTTCATCGAAACGTATCCATTGTCTAGGAAGTATGACAACACAAGTGAACTTCTGAATGTGTCCAGGTCCTTCTGTCTTTGACCTCAGTTGACGATACTGTAGCCACCTTGATCCAAACCCACGTTTTTATTAGCTGTCTACAGCCTGTACATCTTTAATCATGTGACACATGCTCTTGCATGGTGCTGCCTCGTCCTCATGTCTCGTGGTCATGTGACTCACATAGTTGTATCCACGATGGAGTGCTTAGAATTACGGACTTCTTCAGTAGTCTCGGAATACGCGTTCAGCGTTGCCAGGCGATGATCTTTCAGATGTGAAATGTTCGCACTGATGACGATCATGAAATGAATCTGCAAAAATCAGATGGGATAATATTGATGTACCAGTACAAAGATGAAAAATCTGTGGGGTTTTTTGACGTTCATGGGCGAAGGTAATATTTCGGATGTATTTTGTCAGTGATTTTCAAATGACATTAATGCTATTCAAGAATAATATTAACAGAGATGCTGAAATAAGAGATCAGTAGTATAAGATGTTGTTAAGAATATATTTAGATGTTATACAATACAAATATAAATGAGTAATATCAAATATGAGTATTGGTATTGTAATGACAATATCACACAGTAAAAGATAAAGATATTACAATATAAAATCAAGTTAATGCAATCATTTATCTTAATCATTGTTGAAACTGTGATTGTTGGTAAAGAATACACGTGGCCACTGGTCACTCTATGATTATCACCAGACAATAATACTGCATTACATGTAACATGTAAGTCAACAAATTGTTAATTTCATGATAATATTAACATTAGCATTACACATGGATAATGATGTCAAATTCCTCATGTTACCAGCGATCTGACATTTACTTCTGTCAATTTTTTCTTGTACTTACAATTGCAGATTTTAAAAGGATGTATACCTGATCATACAATGTCACGTACTAGCACATCTCACCACGATGTCACAACGTTACGACATGCGGGAGACAAATGTACAACTGTTTGTGAAAGAGGCGAAAAAAGGGAGATAATAACCCTCTTCCAAATAAGAGATTCGGGAATTTTCCTGAGTTTAAATGACATATTTCTGTCTGACTTATTTTATTTTAACATACTGTATATACCCCGGAATACCTGATACCATAATGCTACATACACAAAATAATAACGGACCATTTGTTTATTCTTTGGAACAAATCTTTCTGGAGAGAGACTTTTCTTTTTAAAAACCAATTTACATTGCTAAAATGATGACTTTCACTTTTCGTAATCTATCATGTATTTCAACCCATTTATGGACAGGTGTTTGAACTTTTCTATTACATTTTCAACACTCATGCTTCTGTTTGTTTTTCATGACACAAACTTTTTAAGTACATGTACTTACTGTGTGAAAGGAAAACAATTGATTTCGCAGTTGTCACATTATTAGTAATATATATTTTTGTACCTCAACACAATATAAACGGGAGTTTGGAGGAGGCATATTACTTAAAACAACACTTGTAACACTTGCACTTATACTGAAATGATGCAAATCTGAAAACAAGATATAAATCTTATTTCGAAATATCATATTTCTTTTTTTTTTTCAAAACATTTAACGACATAATACTGGTATTCGCAGTGCAAGAGAGTTGGTGCGGATTGGCTGTGCAGACGAATTCCAACGACATGATGGCCTTACATCGATGGCGACGACAGATGACAATGTTAGTAGAACTCACCGAATGCTATATTGTTACTATAAATATATATAGTTCTTCACCTCCGGCATAGTACATACTGTTAGTGAAAGAAAACTGGCAGAGTTGAAGATACATGCACATAAAGCTACGTGAAAATATTGTTGATAAAAAAGAAAGAATATATATTTGAAAAGTAATGAAAAGTGGCAAAGTAAAAACGGAAAATTAAAACCAATTTTATCACGTGACAAGGTGAGTTGTCTTTCCTTTCGACTTCCTTTGACACATTCAATTTCACAGAGATTATAACAGGAAGAATTCGCAAAACTTCATATACCTAGAACTCTTAAATAGTAAATTTAACACGACATAAACATTAAGTTCCAAAGAAAACAGCTCTTAAAACATACAAATCTGTTCGAAAATAGACTAAATCTATTCATTAAGAGTTTTTTTCCTTTAAAAAATCGAATCGCATTGATTTCGGAAAACAACCAATTGCATGAATAAAATGTACATATTAGTTTCGCTTTGTTTGTCTTCATTTTGACTCTCTAGCCATGCACTGTAAACTTAGTCCTCGCATGTCGACATAGATACCGTGATATTGCGCCATGGAAGCATTTTAATCAACCGAATATAACAAACTTGGTCACGTGATAAATATGGAATGGTTCGTAAAACTATAATAGACTTTGAAGAACTACATAGTCTAAACTATAAATGAAGAGATAGTAGTCAAGATGTTGTACACTGTTATATTTACATATATCATCAGTACCATCTTCTCTATACAAGTAATGAATGTAGAATAAGAGTCCTTATAACACAACTAGTAGAAGATTTGAATGTGACGTCACCTTCATCAGACAAATGATCAGTGTAGAGCGTACTAGCACTGACATACATTTTGATCGAGATGTTACGGAATCGACCAACATTTTCAGTTGTTTGTACACCAAGTTCGAAAATAGTGTGACGAGATGGTGAACAAATTATAGATAAAAAAATACAATATATGGTAAAAGTGTACTGTAGTCAATTCGGCTACGCTTTGTTTAACACTTGGTCATAGACTATTGACATTACCAACATGAAGAAAATGTTACAAAAGATGAAATGAATGGTAGGTAGATGAATTATTTTAAAGATTGATAAAAGTGAACTTTTGTATCTGTCATATGTCATATTTATATTACGATTATGTCAAACTAACATTTCAAGATAGTTTTTAATTTCAGGTCACTCCTCAAATTAACGTTCTCTTACACTCCAATAATCTTTGCTGTAAAAAATCTTGAAAGTCGTAAATACTCCGACAAAAATATCATGATAAACACAAGTACTAGACTTTCTAAGATATCCATAAACCCACAAGTGTTTATAATCACAAATTTGGTTCTCTTTATGAGACGTGTAATGCTTTACAGATTTTTCAATTATTCAGGAAATGATATTGCTCATAGACAATCTTTACAGCGATTCCAGGACACCAGTTTTAATTCGGAACTTCATATATTACATTTAAGTATGTTTTTGTAAGTATATTTATAAATAGCCTAAGTATAGATTATAGCTATAGTAGTGTTTATGGCTCCGTGTAAATAAAAAGGGAAGCATTGACAAAAATGTATAAATCTAGATAGAAGTTTACTAAGCATGCATCAAAGGTATCACTGTGTTAAACGTTAACCAGTATTGTGAACTACAAACTACTGTGTGGATATTTGTTAAAAAAACACAAAGAAAGATGTAATACTAAGTGAGTGCTAGAACTTAGAGGTAATGTTTCAGGCATAATAAATACAATGGTGAGTATAAAGGCTTTGTACCAAACCGAGATGGTTTATTATACTTACCAGACTGATGACTATTAGAACGGAGGACACGTAAGCCACTATGTAGCTGATCAACAAGTCCTGTCCCTGGCAGTAAAATAAATAACACGTGTAATTTTCTATCTACGATAATACTACATAGAACCAATGGAAACACAATGGCATACACCTTTAAAATTTTAGTAAATGAAATGTAAAGTTTCAGGACGGTTGTGAATTTGAAACTGGAAGTCTTATATCGTTATAGTTAATATCTGATACTGACATAATGGAAATCAATACCATTTTCTCATTTCCCCCATTCCATGTGCAATACTTTGACACTTTTATGGTGTCGATATCGTGAATGGATAGCGTTTGTTTTAAATAAAGTGATTTTTTTTAAAAAGTTGAGGTTTTTATTGGTGTTCAGTAAATACGATAGTTAATTTTCAGTCACGTACTTACTGTGTACTTATTCACATCTTATTCCATCAACTGATGGATGTAGTTTTGTACTCCACCAGTTGATGGATGTTCACATTACGGTTCCTGTCATTAGATATATCTAAACACTGTACATCATCAGCATCATCTAGATACATTTTATACAAATTCTTTCATCAGCAAATGCTCAACACATTGTCCAGGCCATTACAATGTTTTCTTTTATGTATAGGGACCGAGAAAGGGGCGGGGACATCCATTACCATCTTATCAAATAGGTGATTAACCTGATATTGTTACTGTGTCACTGTGAATACATCATGTGACACCTGATTACAACCAGGTGACAATAGCCGTCAATCATTGTAAAGTCAGTTGGTTTGGAAAGCACTATGTATGTCAGCGGTAGGTATCTGACATTATGTCTCATGTATATTGAAGTTATTGTTTCAAAATAAAGTCAAAACAACTAAATAATATTTTACTTCAAATATACATACTTTTCTTGCAAAATCATCCAGATCCTCACCACAGAGTTCCATTTCACTCAAACCTATAAACATAAACCAATCCTATTTGTAACGCTTATTTAGATGACATTCGATGAATTTCCAATTAAACGAGACACATAAAATGAATCTGGATTTATGTTTTAATTTACCGAGGTTTTTGGCGGCTTAAAATGAAAAATTCTGGAGGAGTTTCATAAATGTCACACGAAAATAAAAACAAATGCAAGACTCTGTTTATTAGATAACTAAGATGCTGTTTCAATTATCTATGAAAAAAAGTTACGTCGATGGACTTATAAGATATTGGCGATAATCTCACTTTTTACCTTTTCTTTTCTTGTGGTTTAGTAGCAATGCCTATGACAATATACATTCATGTAAACAATTAGACTCTTCAGACAATCACAACATCGCTAGGTCATATTACACGTGTAATATTAAAGAAATAGGTAGTGGGTCTTACTTCCCTGATTACAGGATTGGTATTAGATAAGATGTTATTGCTGTCGCGCGAATCTTTCTCTTACTTGGTATTAATGAGTTCTAAATAAGCATCCAACAACAGTTTCCTCTGATCATTTTAGTGATAAAACGATACCCCCGAAATAAACTTACCGTAGTTGATGAGATCGATACAATTGACCTTGTTCTTGATGAGGATGAGGACTAAGAGGAGAAAAAGAGGGATGGCCAGTATGGAGGTGACCACTGTCCAAGCAAAGCCAAGGATGTAGCTTATCACCAGCAGCTAAAACAGAGCGAGAGATGGAGTATGAGTACCGAAAAAGTGAATATTGTACTTTATATATCCTTGGGTGATACTATAACACTATAGGTAAAATGAAGACAATTTAACCAGTATTTTGTAAAGAAAAAATTGAAAATACAATGTTTTAGGATAAATGATCTCTTAGAACAGATATATGATCGTCCGTGGAAAAAAGTGAATATCCAGTATGCATCGTCTGAAGGAAACATTTATATATCTTTCAGGTCTTTGATCGTCTGAGAAACAACAAATAAGGTTTTAGGTCTCTGACAACCAATCAGGTTTAACCAGTATCTGATTGCCTGAAGGAAAAAATGAAAATACAGTCTTTCAGGTCTTTGATCGTCTGAGAAACAACAAATAAGGTTTTAGGTCTCTGACAACCAATCAGGTGTTTAGGTCTCTGATCGCCTGAAGGAAACATCCAATCAGGCTTTCAGGTCTTTGATCGTCTGAGAAACAACAAATCAGGTTTTAGGTCTCTGACAACGAGTCATGTTTTGTCGTTGTTCGTCGGGTTTTAGGCCACTGATATCCGAAGATACAACAGATCAGGTTTCAGATCTCTGATCGTCCGAAGGAAACAACAAATCAGGTTTTAGGTCTCTGTTCGTCCGAGTAAACACCCAATCAGGGTTTAGGTATATGATTGTCTGAAGGAAACAACCAATCAGATTTTAGGTCTCTGTCGGTCTGGAGGAAACATCAAATTAGGTTTAAGGTCTCTGTCGGTCTGGAGGAAACATCCAATTATATTTTAGCAATCAGGTTTTAGGTCTCTGTCGGTCCGAAGGAAACAATCAATAAAGTTTTAGGCCTCTGATCGTCAGAGGAAGCAATCAAACACTTCTCCGGTCTCTTGTCGTCTGTGGAAACAGCAAATCAGGTTAAGGTCACTGATTGTTTTAAAGAAACAACCATGCAGGTTTTACGGCTTAGTAGTATGAAAAACCAGTCAGGTTATAGTCTCTTGCCGTCCAATGAAAACGCTCTGTTTTTTGTTTTGCATTTGCTCAACTGCAGGACAAATGGATGCTGTTAGAGTTTTAAGTTAGATTATATTCACATGTAGGTTTTTTCTTCATTGTCTCTAGTCGTCAACAGGGTCCCTTCTGGAACGAGATGTTCTGAGATTTACATGGAAAGACCATTGGAATTGTAGAATGTTAATCGATCCTTGTCCTAACTGGTATGAATGGAATCAACATTAAATGTATCGGGCTCTTCTTCATGTCTATGAAGACGATTTTCTGCACTATAGCCCTGTCCGTCTGATGGAAAACAAACCTGGCAGGTTTGAATGGAACACATGTAGACTACGTATGTATGTAAGTAGTAGGCGTCACTTTAATGAGACGAGATCAAACGATATACGTGAATCAGAGAAGTATAGACATGTACTTACAAACATGTTGAGTCCCTGGCCGCACGTGTTTCGCTTAGTGGTGTGGAACAGGTGTCGACTGGTAGGGTCGGTGGAGATGTGGCCCACACACAGCAGTGCCGTGCCGATCAGGAACATACCCACTACCACTCCGGTCAGTGTGTACTCGATAAACCAGAACCTACAACACAAAGGATGGTCAAAATATTGCTCAATGAAATTTTCAGCACGTTTTACACATAAAAAACTATAGTTTAAAATTACTCTATCATTTCAAAAAGTCCTAGACCTACCGTAATATGTTTGCTTGAAGATTGAATTTTAAGTTATATTTAGAATCTGATCTACAGTACATATAATCCCGGGTCGTCAAATTGGAAAATTCTCTATATTGCGTAAAACAGCGGAAATGAATAAAGCCTATCTTAAACGCAATTAGAGTAATCAATTAGCTTGCTTTGGATTTTTTGTTATCCGTGCTGGCAACAAATGGTACGACTGAAAAAATCATGTCTTCCATGAATTACATGTCAGCCTTGGTTTGTATTGTTGCATGCACTTTAAGTTTAATTGACTTTGAGCATCAATAATCCCTCTAGAGGCATGACAAATACCTTCATAGTGATGGTAGCCTTGACATTTGAAAGAACTGATTGAGATTAAAACTTGTTATAGGACTCGACATCCACTAACCATTGGTCAGAATCAAACAGGTCACGTGTTTTCTGTACACCAATAAGGAGGCTTCCTGTGAGACCTCCTAGGCCCATCAGGAGAATGATCCATGCTATAAGACTTGCACATGGGACCTGGGACAGACAGTGCAACAGGCGGTCACTGCATTTGTCATTCCGGGCTGGAAATAACAATAAAAAAACAATCATTAGCAACTCGGCTATTACTAAACGAATAAGTCTTATTATAATTTCGCAAAAATGCAATGCTCAAGCTTATTTCTGTGAATGTGTAACTAGTATCATATAACCTAGAGCGTTTTTTATTGGCTGCGCTCGTCAAAGTCTATTGTAACGTAATACAGTGACGCTACGTCATGAATTAAAAACATAAGTGACAAAATGACTTCCTCTGGTTGATTTTTTGGCTCCATAGTTTTACTTTAAAACCTGTCAAAATGTAACTTTTCTGAGCTATGTGATAAAAATTATTTTAACTTTTTTTTTTACATTTCACGTGGAATTTAAAAAAAAAGATTTGCTCATGACTAGCAAAAATAAAATTTTCTAATATTTTTTTCATAAAATCTCATTTCAGGTTCTATATATACGTGTATATATGCTATACAAATATGTGTATATATACATAGAATCTAGTAATATCGACGGTATGGTCCAATATTGGCACTGGATCTTCTATATATAGAACTAGTAAGTAATATCGACGGTATGGTCAAATATTGGTACTGGATCTTCTATATATATAATCTAGTAAGTAATATCGACGGTATGGTCCAATATTGGTACTGGATCTTCTGTATATAGAATCTGGTAAGTAATATCGACGGTATGGTCCCATATTGGTACTGGATCCTAACCACATCTTTGGATGTGTATTGTAATAACGACAGTAGGGATAAGTGAATTATTACATTTTTGAGGCAACCTGCCACTTTATCAAGACACCAATATTACAAAAAATACATCACATACATAACACATAAAACAAATACAAAGTTATAAATCTAAATCAAGAGAGGTGGTGTAAATTTAGGTATCTCGATAATTCCTTCGGCCGATGGACATTATAGGCCCTTTGTAAAAGACAAAAAACATCCTAAGTTGTGGAATGAAAGATGATAAATCAAATACTTAAAATGTTTGATGTCAATCTCGGTACGTTTGTGTGATCGCAAAAACATAGATCTCGTCGCATTCCGAGGAATGGAGTTAAACAATACATCTCGGCCACACTCATATATATGTTTATATATATACATGCTCTTGTGTTGTGAGTATGTTACCGAATATCTTGTGACTTGTTCAGTCAAAATGAAATATTGAAAAAATGTATCTTACGGCAATTTAGTCGACAAACAACTGAAATGCAGTCAGAGTATTTGGTGCAGGTTTTTACCAATTTATTGAAGACAAAATTTTTGTAAAGCACAACATAAGTAATAGCAAAAGAAACAACAACATAGATTTGCGGTAAAAAAAAGGTATTTTCTTTGTTTCAATTAAAGTAAGACGTATCTTAATTTATAGTACTGCATATCTTCATATCCATATATGATATATATTTTCACTACATCGGAATTCAGTGAAAATTTGCAACCTACAACCACCACATGAATCAGTATTGCTTTATTCGTAAATATTACGTGCTTTATCTGTAAATCAACACGAGGTTAGACCGCTTGCATTAAGCAAAACATTTTCCATTGAAGTGGATCATGTTTTATTGTAATAAATGGAAATGATTGACTATCGTGTGCATTAATTGTTACAATAAGGAAATATTGTCTGTAGCAAACAACGTGCAAACATTACGAATCTGAAAGAAACCGACTGAAACACACAAAACAAGAGAACCAAAAGCAGATTTACATTTGAAACAACCATATTGCTACAATGGTTGTGTGTGTAGCTAGCAGTCAATCAATCTTTAAAGTAATGCTCCAGATGCTGCCTCATCATAGAAACACTGGCAGGTAATGGTATGAAATTAAACCTAAACTATGCGCTATAAGCATTATAAAACACTCAGATAGAGTATATAAGATAGATAGATCAGTGAATAGACAGATAAGTAAATAAATAAAACCACGTAAACAGACGATTTAAGTAATACAACAGCATGACAAAAGCGAAATGATAAATAATAGCCAACATCATTATTTGTAAGGACAAAACAGAAACTTCTATCGAGAATCGGTAAGACATATATTTCAATCTCTTAATGAAAATTCCTCCAATGTTTTATCATTTTGTAATGACTAAATGATTCTACATTGATACCCATATCTGCTAAGCAGCCCTTGAGACTTGCGCGCAATAGCGCAGCGTACAACAGGAAGGAGACAGGCCACTGTCTCTAGAATAGCGCAGTGACAACAGGAAGGAGACAGGCCACTGTCTCTAGAATAAAGCAGTGACAACAGGAAGGAGACAGGCCACTGTCTCTAGAATAAAGCAGTGACAACAGGAAGGAGACAGGCCACTGTCTCTAGAATAAAGCAGTGACAACAGGAAGGAGACAGGCCACTGTCTCTAGAATAGCGCAGTGACAACAGGAAGGAGACAGGCCACTGTCTCTAGAATAGTGCAGTGACAACAGGAAGGAGACAGGCCACTGTCTCTAGAATAGCGCAGTGACAACAGGAAGGAGACAGGCCACTGTCTCTAGAATATTAAAATTATAACTAAAATCAAGCTTTATAATTCAGGTCTTTTGGAAATGTCTGATTCTAGATCTTCAGTTACAAACTGGAGGAAGATAAGCAAGCCTAAAAATGTATCTAGCATTTTTTTTTTACAAAAGCATAGGGGTTGGTAACCAGAACCTATCTACATCAAAGCATGAGAGAGCGATACATGTGTGTCGAAGATTTTTCTAAAAGGATCGAAGCAATCGTAAAACCTCAAATGCAAAACCGAGAAAATAAACGAAATTGTGATCGTTGGCACGGAATATTAAAGGCATTGGTCAATCTCGTGACATTAGGAACTTACCAAAACGATGGTTACGTTTAACTTTGTTCATTTCACGAACCACTCCGCTTCCAGATATCAATCCTCTTCTAATACTTGTTCGCTTAAGGTACGACTGAGGTTGATACCCTAACTCTAACGAACAACCACTCCTCATCGTGGTACATCAGTGGATACTTAAACTACTACTGATGAGAGACTAGTCAACCTTATATTTGTAACAATGTTTGTACCAAACTGAAGAAAAACATTGGCTTACGACAAATAAGCTGTTGGCTGTTTTGTTATACATGTTTATGCCTTATACCATACGACTCTTATTATCACCTCAATCAAGTGTGAATTCTACGCATGCGCAAACAATTAGAATTGGTCGATTATTTTCCAAACGAAACCTAGAATTTCCTGTTTTGTTTCAATATTTTCTATCTACGTTTCTTTCTGTAGCTTTGTTCTCTGATGTCAAATTCAATGTTGGAAAACTTATTCCGATTAGCTCTTTTACACTGCAGCAGCTCTAGTGAACTAAAGTACAGGATTATAGTTTGCATTTGCACGACAATACGACTATATAAACTAACCAGAAAAATGTGTGATTTAGGGCACCATCAATAACATAGAGTAAGTGACCATTATGACGTCATCGTCAAAATGACTCTTTCACTGTGCGAATTGCACTGTCGTTTATAAATTATATCAAGTTTAAATCAACTGCGTAAGAAAACAACACGAGTAAGAGGTAAAAACATCAACATTTTACGTATACTGTGATGGAATTTATGGTCGTGATGAATGACACAGGTTTGCATGTTCGGCAACTCCACTGTAGAGAAGCGAGTATACAACTGCTACAGCATGTATGAGTATAACACCACCAAACACAGAGTATGAGGAGTTAGCAATATCGTTTTCAGACGTTGGAGTCTACGTGTGGTATAAATTTAAATGGGAATGTGCCAGCTACACAGCGAATGGGAAATTTCACTAATAATACATTGACATCTGACGTGTTATAATGATTTCAAAACAAATCTCAATTCTATCTTACGCGCTGGAACTCGCAAGTGATATCGACCAACTCCCTTATCAAGCCACGATCAGAACAGAGAACACTTCAAATCTAGCAACGTCAGGTAGCAGTTTCAACATATTACAACTGAATATAGAAAAGGGAATTTGCTCCCATGGAAACCTTCAATGAAATTCCTGTTTTAACTAATGCCTTCAGAAGCAAACAAGTTATCTATAATGTTAACTGAAGAGCATAATGATGCGGCTCACAGGTACAGACTAACAGACAAGTTACTGACTAACAGACTACCAGTTACAGACTAACAGACTACCAGTTACAGACTAACAGACAAGTTACTGACTAATAGACAGACAAGTTACTGACTAATAGACCATTAGTCACAAACTAACAGACAAGTTACAGACTAACAGACTACCAGTTACAGACTAACAGACTACCAGTTACAGACTAACAGACAAATTACTGACTAATAGACAGACAAGTTACTGACTAATAGACCATTAGTCACAAACTAACAGACAAGTTACAGACTAACAGACTACCAGTTACAGACTAACAGACTACCAGTTACAGACTAACAGACAAGTTACTGACTAATAGACCATTAGTTACAGACTAACAGAAAACCAGTTACAGACTAACAAACCATTAGTTACAAACTAACAGACTACTAGTTACTGACTAACAGACTACCAGTTACTGACTAATAGACCATTAGTTACAGACTAACAGACCAACCAGTTACAGACTAACAGACTACCAGTTACAGACTAACAGACAAGTTACTGACTAATAGACCATTAGTCACAAAGTAACAGACAAGTTACAGACTAACAGACTACCAGTTACAGACTAACAGACTACCAGTTACAGACTAACAAACTACCAGTTACAGACTAACAGACAAGTTATTGACTAATAGACCATTAGTTACAGACTAACAGACTACCAGTTACAGACTAACAGACTACCAGTTACAGACTAACAGACAAGTTACTGACTAATAGACCATTAGTTACAAACTAACAGACAAGTTACAGACTAACAGACTACCAGTTACAGACTAACAGACTACCAGTTACAGACTAACAGACAAGTTACTGACTAATAGACCATTAGTTACAGACTAACAGACAAGTTACTGACTAATAGACCATTAGTCACAAACTAACAGACAAGTTACAGACTAACAGACTACCAGTTACAGACTAACAGACTACCAGTCACAAACTAACAGACAAGTTACAGACTAACAGACAAGTTACTGACTAATAGACTACAAGTTACAGACTAACAGACAAGTTACTGACTAATAGACCATTAGTTATAAAATAATAAATCACTAGTTACAGATAACAAGCTGAGCTCCAGACTAAGAGACTACTAGCTAAACAGACTAACCTAACCGATTACCAGTATTAATGTGTTGCGAAATATCACAATATATTTCATTTAAATAAATTTAATGATGTTTTGGCAGAACAAACGTACACTTAAGAGAGCAATATCTTGATCCAGTGATGTTCTACAAACTACATAATTTTGACGTTATATAACTCCAAACAAGGTTAAGGACACATAAAACAAACATAACTAGGATTTTAATTCTTTAAAATCTGCAAATTTATCCAAAGTCCTGTGGTTAAATCCCTCGAACAATTGTAGAAATTTGCTGCAATATGATGGGATACCAGAAAATTATATCGCATTAAATTGAAACTGGAGAAATATAGCGGTATTATTGCTCATCCTTAATTAACAGTCAGGCACTCTTGTTCTAGAATTAATTAATAATTTTTTTCTGAGAAGTCCTCGTTGTCACCTGGAAATCCACAAGGTATTCGATAGTACATTATTAGCTATGACGTCGTACACATGTAGAAAAGACAACAGACATCTCTTCCTGTAATCAAGGTCAGTCATACTTAATCATTATGGAAAAAGATTCAGGTTTTTTTTATGTACTTTTGGAAGCAAAGATTATTTTCCATATTAAATACCAATATTAGTCAAAATTTTCGCTGAACTATATAAAAGGTATGATGAGCTAGCGATGTTTTGAGGGAAACTCTGATTGACGAAAAATGAGATAACGCCATAAAAATGTAATCCCACTGACACAGCTTGCCAGAGAGTAAGTCGACCGATGTTGGCGTACTCCCGGGAGTGAAGCACGCGCTCATGTAGCAGGTGCCTCATGTGCCGGGTTGTGATACTGATCGCCATCGTTTTAATACTTTTATCTTAGCCCTACACACTGGAATACATTTCCTATCGTCAATATCCCCGCGGGGTCTCTCAACAAAATCTCTAAAATACCAATGCTTGAAATCTGGCTCGAGTTGGCGTCTTTACAATGTAGCTTGTTTGTATCTCTATATAAATAACCGGTCCGTATAATGCTGTAGCTTTTGTAGCATATTTCTTGTCTCACGACACAGACTAGCCTGTAGTACATTTAAAAACAAAACATGCCACTGAACGTGAGCGTGGGTACCGGGGAGGGGGTTGTAAACGGTCTGACAGGGCCCGTACAGCCCCTAAGGGGAGATTGATTACCGTCAGGACGGCGAAACGCTGTCTAAGTCATTACGAGGTAGCAAAGCGCACACCAATGCAAGTAATTACCAATAGTGATGGCCTTCAGTAGTCTATATCAGCGTGTCTACTTCCCATACAACTTACTGTTTTTACGAAAGCGTCTGACAGCAACATTGCAATGATTAAAAAAAAGAAAAACAGTTATTCTTTATCCCCATTTTGCACGTGTTACGTGAAATGTGCAGTCTGATTCACACGACCCCAAACAAAGCATATAAAATCCCTCAAAATGAACGAATAAAGAACAAATGAAATAAAAAAAAACCGTAAATTGAAATCACAGCATTTCGAGCTATGGCGCTGGAACACTAAGTCAGTCGGCTAATGTAATTAATGTGTGGAAGGTTATGGGAAAATCTTATCCTTAAGATCGTCTGCTGGCATACTTAGGTCATATATATATAACACTTACTGTGGAATTAGGAACGAGGTGATGGCTACTGGCCATAGTTTAAGGAGTAAAGTACACCATGCCCAGACGAACACGATGCCCCGTTAATCAATACTTACCACATTGAGAAGCGACACAAAGCCCCGAAGTCTTATCATCTTCTTCAACTGTTTCCAAGTCTACAACTTCACTCTCCACCAATTCCACTTTCTCTATTTCCAATTGATTTTGCTCGCTTATATCATTACTAACAATGTTTGCGGCATCACCATTTCCCGCCTTGACAGGGACAGGTTCCTCTGTAACCTGTTCCTCTGTCTGTTGTTGCACACAAGGTTCCGGTATGGGCTCCTGAATAGGTTCTGGTACACACTCGGGTTCAGTTTCTTGTACACATTCTGGTACCGGTTCTGGTACCGGTTCTGGAATAGGTTCAGGTAGAGGTTCTAGCTGAGGTTCAGGTACAGGTTCCTGTACAGGTTCTGGCTCTGGTTCGTGAAGTTCCTCCTGTGGTGCCACCTCGACTACTGTCTCTGTGCCTTCCAGGACTCCTGGCTCGGCCTCCATCTTGATGCTCTTACCGTTCCGAGTTATATCCCTACTCAGTCAGCTCTCGCCAGCACAAGTCCCGCTCTCTCATATTTCAAGGAATTAGAACCGCGAGATACTCCCCGCTTTACAGAACGAAATGAGTTGAAGAGAGATTAGCGTATCTTCTTATCGGTCCGAGTGCCCCTAGCTGACCTCGATTTTAGAGATGTACGTGCACCCTGCAGTTTTCATTTCTAAACTGTGTTCACAGAATGCCAATCGCTAGTATTGGCGCGCTGACCGTCCTACCCCCAACCATGCCAAGGGGAAGCTGTCATCCCTACACCCATTGTAGATAGGTTAGCTTAGCACAGCATCAAATGTTACCATATTTCAAACAGAAAAGCCAGAGTTTGAGATTAGCGAGCATTATGTTTTATACTTCAATAACCTGCTTTATTAGCGTGTAATCGATAGTAATTTTGTACCATACTCACCATTAAAAGTTACCAAAGAAAGGTGAAAAAGTATACTATGGTTAAAACTGAACACAAAGTGACGCGTTCCTTTCCACATAACAAGTGATACTAGTTTATTTTAAAAAAGTACCAAATTAGATACAGACAATTAATGTGGCTAGATGGATGTATTTTGCTATGTTGTGTGGCTGTATGGAAACTTTTATTTTGTCTAAAACATTTCAGTCCATACTGGTTAAAACAAAGATACTTCATTATTGTTACAGCTGACGTTTATGATTATAGTGCGTTTGTCATGCCATTTACTCAATATATAATAATGCTTTAACACTGAAACCATGTAGCATTATTTATTAGGGGATGGGACGAAAACTTCGTCCTTCTAATGACACTGGAAATAAAACATATAGATTAGGAGGAAATGACTGCCTTTGTATACAGGAATGATATGAAAATCACTTGAAACGTTATTGACCTTATGATAAAAGAGATCTTTCATGAAAATATCTGTGATTACTACCTGGTAACCAACCGGGGCACCAAACTGACATCAATATTTCATAAATCCCATATGACAATGATGTCGAGGAGATTCTTAGAGTTATGATAATAGTATTACATTAACCACTTGCAAGAACGTCTTAAATACGTCTTAAATAGAAGGGACTAGAGCAAAAGTACACCAATATTAGTGTGACCGTTTCACTGAATTTAATGAACCAGTTTTGTGATAAATGGAATTCAAGCGCGCGCGTGGTCTTTCTGACGTCACTGGTATTTTTTTTAGGTGCTGTTGCTGGTAAATTTCACGAAGGAATTATCCAAGACCGATGACAGAATTGTGATGACCTCGGCACTACTGTAAATATATACAAATAGCGTTTCTCCAGATCAGAGCACGAGATCTAGCCGAGATACATCAGCCGGATATAAACAGGTGCCCGTGTCTTTGGTAGGCGGAAAAGCATCGGCACACTTGTGTTATATTAGTCTATAAACCACATACAGCTATTTTTATCTCATGATGTGCAGTGTTAATCCAATTTTATATCACATTAGAAAGTCCCCATATGATGTTTCTAACAAAATGAAGGGATGTGATGCCACGTCTATTTCGAAATCTTTGTTTTCAACATCATTATAAATCATTACCAGACTTTGGGGCCCAGAGTTCGGAAGTCGTAATATAATAGACGTTTAATGAGGTCAAACAACGGGCATATCAACCCTAGTTACACGTTTTTTTATCCAAACTTTGGATCACAATAAGTTCCCAAAATGGAAATGAAATAAAAAAAAAGATACACATTTACTGATGTTGTCGTTACTCAACACATATATTCTACATACTGTTATGCCAACGCATTACATTTACACTTATAGTGTTGCTTGTTCAGTCGTTAGGAACTCATGCTGATGCGATCAACACACAAATGACGTATTATAATTTTAAATATAACCATAAAATTTCCAACAATAAAACGTAAGAGATTGTATAACGTAAACGAAGGTCAGAAATCGGTGTCTGTAAATATAGTATCGACAAGTGTCTGAGTCTCTATTGCCAATAATGTACATATGTGTGGCCTACACACAAACAACTACCAACTACGGGGTATTTAGTGGAGACTAACGACCAACATGTGGCTAAACGGCCACTTAATTGTCCTCAATTTATGTAGAACGAGTACGTTATGATAGGACTGTTTCCGTAATAGACTACATATCGATCTCTCAAGCTTGTCTGCTTAACTCCTCAGATAGTCATGACATGACACAGATGGCTGCACGCTTTTTACTTATTTTTACATATCGCTGGGCAACTTTAACAAATTGAATACGATATCCTGTCTGACGTGTCTGAATCACGAAGTTTCAATAAAATGCCGAGGGCGGAAAGGGTCGCTGGTATAGTCCAAGAGTAAAAATCCCGGGGGTGGAAAAAATCGCTGGTATAGTCCAAGAGTAAAAATCCCGGGGGTGGAAAAAATCGCTGGTATAGTCCAAGAGTAAAAATCCCGGGGGTGGAAAAAATCGCTGGTATAGTCCAAGAGTAAAAATCCCGGGGGTGGAAAAAATCGCTGGTATAGTCCAAGAGTATAGAGAATTTAGCTGGTGTGACGGTCCAGTCTTAAATCTATATCATTATCTAAACGGCTAGGTTTCTGTGATAAAAAATCGCAAAAAAAAAATATATACAACCGGAACCATTATTAAGCAGACTGACATTAACTCTCATTTGCATGATTGTTTAATGTAACTGTCAGATACTGTAAAAATGGAACCTATCAAAAGGAATGGATATACACCGTATCTCTTAGAACACAACGTCCAAGCCACATGAACTATCATCACTTCGCCAATAAAACGTTAGAGTCCTAGACGGTATCGTCCCTTCCCGGACAAAACGTCACAGCCAAAGAAAGTATCGTCACTTCTCAAACAACACTCACATAGGAAGTATCGTCCCTTCTCAAACAACACTCACAGCCAAATTAATTATCGTCCCTTCCCAAACATAACTTCACATCCAAATAAATCATCGTCCCTTCCCGGACAAAACATCACAGCCAAAGAAAGCCGCGTCCCTTCTCAAACAACACTCACAGCCAAAGAAAGCATCGTCCCTTCTCAAAAAACACTCACAGACAAAGAAAGCATCGTCCCTTCTCAAACAACACTCACAGACAAAGAAAGCATCGTCCCTTCTCAAACAACACTAACAGACAAAGAAAGCATCGTCCCTTCTCAAAAAACACTCACAGACAAAGAAAGCATCGTCCCTTCTCAAACAACACTCACAGACAAAGAAAGGATCGTCCCTTCTCAAACAAAACTTAGAGAAAAAGAAAGTATCGTGCCTTCCCAAACAAAACTTAAAAAGAAAGTTTCATCCCTTCCCAAACAAAACGTCATCCAAAGAAACTATCGTCCCTTCCAAAACAAAACTAAGAGATAAAGAAGGTATTAACCCTCCCAAATATGTGTCAAGATTCAGTGTGATGGCACTATAATCTGTGTTAGTATAGTTACCGGGCACCAAAAAGACATGTCATTATGGCGTGACTAATTGTATATCTGTTATCATACCACGCTACCCGCCTCCATGACAACCCAAGCGAGACTTGGATGCCTGCTCCGTGACAACACCAGCATGACCTAGAGTGTGAATCTGACAGATGAATGGTAGAATTAATGTTATATACCCATTGCAGCATGTTGTATTGATGAAATGGAAGATATCCCAATTCCGTTTTTTTCCCTGAGTGTCTAAAATTGCCCCTCGACTAGCGCATACATTTGTTGAAATGACGGAAACAAAAAGCCAGTGTGATTAAAACGAGGAAATTATTAGATAAAAAAACTGGTAAATATGTGGAGGTTGATGGTTCCCATGTGTAAAATACAGCTTACGTGGCATTAAAAAACCTATCCCGCATCAGTAGGGGTTGTAGAAATTAATCCCATACTGCTTCCTCTTCCCTTGACAGACGGAGCAAGCACAATTCCACTCATTATGTTGGGTTGTAGAGCGCTTTGGTTAATTACATATATATGTACGTATTTCATGATGCAAGTGCCGAATACATTATCTACAAACTAAAACCAACACATTTATGGTGTAGCAACTAATTACCCATACAGGCGATGTATACATAGTGATAAACATGGTCTGGACACAACACGATGCTGGTTGTTCAAGTAGTCAGCAAGACACTTAGTCGGTACATACAAATTATTGCATAGTATACACGGATGTCAGTGTACCCAAAAGAAATGTAGTTTATAATTGAGGCTAAGCTATTTGCTTGTCTAAGTATGTCTTATCTTTTTTACGTTCCTACAGCAGCTAATGTTTTTTTTTTTTTTTTTTAATGGTGTCACAGATGATGGGGCCATTTCAGAATGCTTATAGTGCCGTCACACAGGAATTTCATAAACTAGTTACGGTATCTCTTCATTTTACCCGGTTTCATTATACTGACAGCAATTTAACGCCAAGAGGAGAGCAACATGTCTTGTTCTGGGGGCAGACTCCATAACTTGTCTCACTTTGGCGGCTGCTCAACACTGAAGCTAATAAAGAGGTTTTGCCAAGTGGGGCATTAGTTAAAACCAAAGTGTTCAGAATGACTGAGGAGATAAAAATAATATCTAGTTGCCACGTTAGACCATTTAACTAAGGTAGCAGGTACAGTACTTATATTCTACCTACAGTGACATGATGGTAATGACACAATATATATGATAAGTTATCTGGTTTACCCTCGTGTCGCCTGAATGGCAAACCTGTATCCAACCAACTACTTGTAACTAGAAGTCTTAGTGGTCGAAGATGGGTCAGACTTCCCAAGGAATAACTAGCGTTGCAATAATGTAAAACAAACATATTTCACCAACACTTCTTTGACAAGAAACATAGACAAGAAAATGTAGTCACGCCCCCGGGAGTTCCTAATTCCATCAAGGACGATACATCAGTAGACAGCTAGAGTGGACAGGGCGTGGAATCTGACTGTCTCTATTAAGGAAATATAAGTCTTTGCTGCAACACCA